ACGAATGTCAATCTCAGCCATTTAAAAAAATTGTGATGGATGTCAGCAGGGAGAAAAGGTCTGCTGTGTCGCTGCACTGGAAGTACAGCAGCACGGTGTAGAGTTTGGTGACGAAACTTGTTGTTCTCATCACCTATGACCGGGACACAGGTAGATGGTCACCAGAGATGTCATACAAGATCCTAAAAGCAATACTGAATCTGCATTTTTTAGATTTAGATATTGCAAAGTCTATGACATACGGTGCCGGAAGGTGATTGAAAGGAATGCGTGTTGGCTCTTCGGTTGCTGTGAATAAGATACTTGCTTCGTATCACATAGGTTGTAAAGGCGAACCCCACCAGTAGAGTGCCATGATCGGTGTTTGCAGTTCTAGTCCCCTGGCCGCAATAAGAGGGCCCGACAGTCCAGAACGACTTCCAACTCCTCCTCTTCGCAGCCTGAAACCACTCCTGACATACACCGAGGTGAACTTCAACGGAATACGTCCAGCCATATTCACTATCACAGAAGCCGCTTCAATGCTTTGCATCTCAGTGTTTGTGCTTCTGTGATACTCAATACCACGTCTAACGAGCACAGCCAAGCCACCACCTCTACCATTCAATCTGTCAGCGCGTTATAACATCATAATTGGAGAAAGCTAAACGATCTCCCGGATTTAGTAATGTTTCCTGCAGCAGAGCCACATCTATACTCTCATCCAATAGAGTTTGACGAAATTCCCGTTTTTTTGCAATATGGCTTAGGCCCAGATAATTCCAGAAACGAATTTCGATAAATGCAGGTTGTCTATTGTACTAAGTCATTCAATGGCTGCGGAAAGATCGCCTGCAATGCCTGAGTGGCGCTATCAGGGGACTTATTATTTGTTGAAGGGACCTAGGTGCAGATGTTGAGATGACTGCTTCCGCGTATGATTTGTTGCGTCTTTGCGCTATAACTTCCAGATTTTTCCTGAGGGTGAATCGGCAAGTGGGACTGTTAGCGGGTGCGCTCCTCCACAATTCGCACACTATCGCTCCTCCTGTTTTGTGAGAGGGCATAAATATGTCATGTGGTCGGAAGCATATTTAAACATTTGGGACGTGCTGTGCAGTAAGACTGTGAATGACCATACCTTTGGCAGCGGTGACACTGCCCAATAAGTCTAGAGCCCTTTTGAACTTCAACTCTGATTACTAGACCCAGTAGCTCATGCTCATTGTACAGCTGCTTGGACTTTCAATCTTTTGCAGTATCACAACCACCAAAGGCATGGGTGCGCCGCCACTGCGTTTGGATTGGATGTGGAGGGGAGTATATCCCCTCTGTTCTAATTTTCCCTGGATCTCCTGTTCCGAAAAGTTTGCAGGTATATCTCTGACTACCGCATGAATATTTCGTGCTGAAGGAAGAGGGAACGTATGATAGGGAACGTTCTCCTCTCTGCACATGCGAACGATCCTGTGGTGATCGGCGTGATTCGCCCCTGGCGGGGTGCTGTGCTGGTCATCTCACCAGCAACGTGAGATTGTTGAGATAATCCACCGTCAGTCGATGCAATGGCCAAATATTGACAAGATGTGGTCGCTGCATAAGACTGGCTCAAGACAAGTGGCAGAAGAAGTTGACACATTTAATAAATCAGAGGGTTTTGGAGGGACTGTCTACTTAAATTTGGATTTTGCTTTTGGAAGAGGTGGAAAGTTATCCGTCTTGTCAGTTTTGTCCGTTTTGTCGCTGCGTCTTTTTTTGGACTTGGCCTGGAAGAATCCGTCATTCTGTATTTCATCGTCGTTCGATGTCATCAGTCAAAGTTTCAAAAGGTCTTTTTAAATTGACAGCCTTATCAGATTTGGAATTAAAATTTTGATTATTAATTAACTACGAGTATGTTACCTGGGTGGCCAGGCAGTCTATTTTACTGTTTTGGTCCTTAACTGTCTCACTCAGTTCCTTTATTTGTTAGGCCTGGCTTTCGATGATCACGGTCAGGCGCTGGATGGTTGTGTCCTTTTAGTGTGCTTCAGCTGGTGTCATCATTTCCTTTGATTTCATCGCAATTTCTGTTCTCTCCTTCTGGTTGGGCTTATTCGTCATCAGGAATGCTGGGGGATCATTGCCATCTCCACGTTTTGTCAACAAGTATGTGGTATTTGCAGCAGTAGTACAATGATTCCTAATAACAGTAGGAGCGTCATGAACGCAATCATTTTTGGTATTTTGCCTAATACCTTTTTCTCATTTTACCGTGCACTCCACTACAGGTAATATGGAATTTCGGGATACCATCTAGAATACTTTGTTTGAAAGCCATATTTGATAATGATTAACATAAAACACTCCACAGAGCTGAAAATACCAGTTTTTTAGCATATTGGCAATTTGAGCTCACTACTGAACTGGTCGACTGTAATTTCATCATATTCGAATCTGAATCTGAAGCTGTGTTTAAAGATGGTTTTCTTGAAACACAAATCGTATGACTGAAAAGATGTATTCTTGTCTGACGTGGATAAAATGAGCCGTTCTTGAGAAAAACAGTCTCCCTTCATTCTCGTTTTAAATCGATTATGGTATTGTTTTTGATATACTTTCCGGCGCCACCATTTTGAAAATATAGTAAGTTTTATAGTACCCGTATAAGTCTATACCCCAACTGAAAAGATGTTTACACGAAGAAGTCCATGAATCCATTTGATGTCATATTCCTGTTTTATACTTTTGGCAATGCACTCAACTCATGTAGAAATCCATATATTTATTGTCAATGTAAAGATGGGTATAACAGTGTAACGAAAACACCGTTTTTACTATTTGAAGTCTAATTTTGTACTTCTACGCTAATTTATGTCTATAACCATGTCGACTAGACTATCGCGTTCTGTGGTCTTGCTGACCCATGGCCGGCTGTTGACTGTTCCTCCTTCTGCCATCGGCGTGCATATTTATGTTCAAATTTACCGATTCTAGATGTCGATCATTGCTTCTCGATGTGTTTCGAACGTTCTTGATGTCGTAGCGAACCCTTCCGACGTGTGGTCGCATAGCCGACGTACGAGGGCGTCTCAAAAAGTTGAAGTTTACGAGGGCGCTAGATTCGTAATATGTGACTAGGAGAATCTTCGGATATAAATTTTCAGTTTTAAACTTTTGTTCAAATTTTTTATGGGGTCTAGCTGCAGTGTAAATCGGGAGAAGCAATATTGAAATTGGACTGTTCTTCTTAACAACCAATCATTTTTACCACATCAAACAAAAATGTTTTTTCCATCTAATGAATTAGACTTTCCAAAAATTTTTGAGCGATTTTCATATAGAGTGTAAAAAATAACAGTTATGCATCAGGGTTAATTCAAATTCAAATTCTTTTATTATCCCAAGAGACATTACAAAGTATGTATAGGATTCGTCGGAAATAACTAATAAAACAACACAAAATAAATATATGTATAAAACAAACACACAAATAAATCATAACATAACAAACTCAGAGACGGCATAATAACATTTACACACAAGAAAATCTGTCAGCTTAGCCTTAAAATTATGTATATCTCCACAGTCTTTAATATGTTTTGGTAGTTTATTGAAAATTCGTGGACCCAGTATTTCCGGAGATCTGACGCCGATCTTATACTTGGCAAAATACACATTTAAGTCTCCAGCTTGTCTGGTCGAGTACGAGTTAAAATTGTTTAAAAACCTAGTTTTGTTAATAAAAGTATACACAGCCATTTCATATAAAAATAAAGATGGTAAAGTTAAAATCTTAAGGGCCGACTTCACCACACCACCTACCGGCCCGATAAAGTTACCGCCGCCAAGTTGCCGCTCCGGTAGCGAGACTTACGTTTCACCACGCGTTACCGGCCCGGTAAAGTGCTGTCGCCTGGTAAAAGTTATCCGGTCGGGAATTGGGCAGATAGCGAAGTTACCGAGGTCACGGGAGTGATCGATGCAACATGGAAGCAGCCCTTAACCTTTTATTAGAAGATAGCGACGATGAGAAAGATATGGAGCTTCCAGCGAGACGATTGAGATTTATTCGAGAGAGGATAGATCATTTCGAAGACCTAGACGATGTTGATTTTTGTAGAAGATTTCGACTTTCAAAGAACAGTGCCCTCCAAGTTCTAACTTTAATCGAACCGTTTGGAATTTCCAACGTTTGAGAAGTGAGTTGTGACGAGTTTATTTTTCAAAGAAAGACATTCCAAACATTCCCTTGTTATTTGATATTAAACTTAAAAATTAACACCTTATGCACAAAGTTAGGTTAACTTGATATGTATTGTTTTCAGAAATGATGCTGTTTCACCCATGAACCACAGTTATTGTTGTGCTTGAGATTTTACGCTACTGGCTGCACTCAATTGACCGCAGCAGATTTCAGTGGTGTCAGTGATACTACCGCCAACCGCATAATACACAGGGTTACAGCTGCTATAGCTTCCCTGTACCGTCAGTTCATTTACTTTCCAAGAACTGAAGTAGAAATACAACAGACTCAAAGAGACTTTTATGTGATTGCTCGTTTTCCAAAAGTAATTGGTGCAGTGGACTGCACTCACATTAAAATACGTTCCCCTGGGGGTGACCATGCAGAGTACTATAGAAATAGGAAAAGTTTTATGTCTATAAGCTGTCAGGGAATTTGTAACGCTAACTTAGAATTTACTGATGTTGTTGCTAGGTGGCCAGGCAGCACCCACGACCAAACAATTTTTGACAACTCTTTGCAGCGGGCTCGGTTTGAAAACAATGAATATGGAGATTCTATACTCTTGTGTGATTCTGCATATGCTTCCAAAAAGTATTTAATGACACCTCTAGCTAATCCAGCGAGACCAGAGGAAATATTATATAATGAGTCACAAATCAGGTCCAGAAATCCAATAGAACGAATTTGGAGTATGGAAGCGCAGATTTCCCATACTCGCCTTAGGTATTAATACTCGTTTAGATAATGCATTACCAATAATTATTGCACTGCTGTGCTGTACAATATTCTAAAGAGGGGAGGGGATCCACTTCCACCTGATGACAATGAATTGCAACTTCCAGTACCATGGGATGCACTCATTGATCAAGGAAGAATTGATAATCCCCTGATTCCAAACGAGCATGGCCATGGAGCAGACCCTTATAGACAACCTTTAATCAATTACTACTTCAGGACTCTGCACAGGAATCAGAATAATTGAGAATGTGGTGAAATTTTTGTAAGCATACTTTTATTGATATCCTGTTACAGTTGGTGTACAGTGCCTCAAAACCATTTGTTTATTTTTGGTCTAATGTAAATAGAATAGGAATAAAGTTAAATGTTCAAAGATTGTGTAGTTGATTGTATAGCATAGTATAGAAAACAAGTCTTCTTCCTCTCTATAAATTAACAATAATTATGAGAAATAATCTAAAAATAAATCTTAGGCGTAGGCAAAACAAAAGGAAGTTTAGCTTTGGCAACCGCAACTTAAAACAAGAAAAGATAATGGGTATTACCTTGAAGCTTAACTCAAAACAAAACTCAAAACGCAATGAGATCAAAGCCTTAAATACTGATTTCTATACTTAAGCATGGCACTAGTGTTAAGTGTACCCATACTCAAAAATACTTTTTGTTTCAGTCTTTAAAATTAAAAAAAAATAGAAGTAGAGTAAATCATGAATGAGAAACTTTTCACTTGCACAGTAAACCTTATCCTATGGAGGTAATGCAAATAATTAAACAGAAAAGAGTAATGTCTCACCAGTAAAGTGCAAGCGCAAAGACCCTTTCATTTTCTCTGAATCAAACAAATATAGATGCAAACAAACTTCATAAGAACAAAAAGGGGATGCACTTGCCCCACAGATACTGAGAATTCAAATAAAAAGTGAAGTGTAGTGCTTGAAGTTTGAGCATCTCCTCCTCAAGCAGTTTCTTCCGTTTCTCCACCTCAAACAGCTCACCTTTTCTTACTCGCTCCAGCTCCAGCTCTTCTTTGGCTGCTCTAGCTAGTTCTAACTTTGCGTCTATGAGCTGGTTAGCCTTCTCATTGGTTGGTAATTGGGGCCTACGCCTTTGGCTCCTCTTAACCCACTCTTGTTCTGCTGATATCTTAGGTTTAAGAGGTGCAGCCTTTGGTGACATCAGGTGCTTAGGCTAATTTCCTTTGTGACCACTGCTTGAGGATGAACCTGCTGATGTGGTAGATGGTTGTGGCC